TATATATAACCATACATTTACAATGAGCTTGAAGGACTAACTGGAGGTGTCATTTGTGTCGTGTTGTATTTCCAGATGCACCTTGCAGGACAACAGAAGATGTTTAATATTTTCAGTCTGCGGTCAGGTGGTACGTACCACGTCCAGGTGCGCTGTAAGCCCGATCACGGCTTTTGGAGTGAATGGAGTTCCACCTTCAACGTCAAAGTTCCCGACTGTAAGACATCACATGTACTATAACATTTACCAAAAAGATATAATGTATTGAAGAAGAATTTCAATATCATATTTCATATCTCATTTGTTTAATCCATGTAAACCACAAAAATTGAAGATGTGGTTTCACAGAGGTTGTTTTTATGTGCCAAAATGTGTCTTGGCTAGATGTAGTAGTTCACTCCTTTACCTATAATGTGCCATTTTGACACTCACGCACTCATCTACTTTTGAACCACTGGAGCACTGAGGGTAATGCACGCTTCTTCCTGGTTGCACTGTTGTTGCACTGTTGTTGGGCAGTTTTGTAGTCCCAAGGCCCCTGAAATCCTCCGGAGAGAGCAGCAATGTGGTCAAAACAGCTGCCGCTATTAGTTGTGCAGTGCGCCGGCTACAACACATAACATTTTTCACAGACCATGCTCTTCTCCTGTTTCCAGTCTAAACTAAGCCATGAAAATGAAAAAATCTGCTTCTATGAATTAAACCCCTTTAACATTCTATGATAGTAATCACCACCAGGAGCTTGCACAAGATTGTTTTTTATGTTGTAGCACTTATGTTATTATGTTACTTTACAGATTTCCATCGGGAGAAGTCAACGTGGATCCTCATCACAGTCTTTTGTGCCTTCATCTTCCTCATCCTCACGTGGTTGTTACACATGAACAGCCACAGGTAAAAAAAAGGGATCATGCAATATGTTTGTTGATGCAATATTCATGTATGTGTTATATGCTACAGATGATACAATTATTGCTATCCCCATATATTTCTCATTAATGCCAACAAAACATTTTCTTGCCACACTCAATATAAAATACTGCATTATTTTAATTATCATTTTATAATTTATAGCTTTTCTCCTGCTGCTCTCAACCCAAGAATAATCTTGTTTCTTTTTTGTTTTGTTTGTTTCGTGAGAAGTCTGAAGCATTGTATTCTGCCACCAGTCCCTGGTCCTAAAATCAGAGGATTTGATAAACAACTTCTAAAGGTAAAGCTGCAGCACATCGATCAATGTTTTGATGCACACGACAATGATTCAACCCAAATGATGTTTGAATAAGAAAAATGACGTCTGAGTGATCATGCTTTGTGTGTAGAGTGGCAAGTCTGAGGAGATCTTCAGTGCACTGGTGGTGTCTGATTTCCCCCCGATCACATCGTCCAACTGTGAGGATTTTCTGGTGGAGTACTTAGAGGTGTACATCCCCGAGGAGCAGGAGCTGATGCTGGAGGAAAGCAAGGATCTGCATGACAACTGCCTCAAATCTGAGGGCTCCACGTACGACAATGACTCCGGCCGGGGCAGCTGTGACAGCCACACTCTGCTGATGGATAAGTGCAGAAGGTCAAAAGAGGAAGGGAGGCTAACAGATCAGGAGGAGAGTCCGATAGAGGCACAGAGGCACCAGAAAAAGTGGAATGAGGGCCCGTTGGCCTATTCTCATGATGATATTGTTAGCCCCGACACATCCAGTGGTCGGGTGAAGACCTGGCCTTCTGTGTTTTCACCTCTGCCTCAGTACAGCTCGCTGAACCAAATGAGCTCGCTTGAGAAAGTGAAACAGCACTGCCTCTCTGACAGCCTGTTCCCCCCAAGCTCCTCATCCTCCTACCTCACCCAGCCGGGCCACAACAACAATAAGGAGGCTCTAGGAGCAAGCTACTGGGACAAGCAACATCGCTCACTCCATCCCCAGACACAGGCCCTCTGGCAAATCCAGGCCCACAGTGAGGTCAACATCTCCAACGTCGGCCGCAAACAAGCACCCGTTGATCTGCAGCCGCTTGCTCTCCGGCCCACTGAGTATGTTGAAGTCCAGAGGATCAATGAGGAGGACATGGTGCTCCTGCAGCCTGTCATGTCGGACTGTGGCGCCGGCTGCCCCCGGCCGCGCCAGGAGGATGACTACAGCAAGGTGCAGGGGGTGAACAATGACAACATGCTGCTACTCCAGAGAGAGGTGGCAGGACACGAGGCGGAGAGGTGTCCTTGTGAGGACCAAGAGATGAATGGAGCGATGGATAGCTGCGTCCTGTCATCCATCGTAACCCAGAAGCCTACAGCCTGCATTGACACTGGCACGCCAGCCCGGGATGACACAGCCCTGGCAGTGAGTGGCTATGTTGACACTGCCACCATATTTACCACTTACTAGGTGCTCGGAAGCTGAACAGGCAGGTCTGGGACATTGTGAGACCTGTTTTAAGGTGGAACACAGACAAAAAGAACAACAAACATTACAGTTACACCGACACTATTCTTCCATTTATCATAAATCTAATTTAAGAGACAGTTGAGACATGATAAGGATCTAAAATAATTTGATTGAATAATATGAATAATAATCATAATTTTACTTTATAAACTTATAAAGTAAATATTTATGATTGATTGTATAAGATGGCTAGTACTACATGCTGTCATTATGATTAATTTATTTGTGTAAAATCAAAAGGACAGGTAGCTCAAACATCAATTGCATTTTTTTTGTCCTTTTTTGTCCTTTTCTATGTGCACATTTCTCCCTGTCGAAGTTAAAGCTGTTGGCTGGATACCACACAGAAAGTATATAGAGAGATTTATGTGCAGAAGAAAACTGAGAAAGTGGGAATGTATTGGTGTATTTTTCATCCTAAGACTGTGAGCAGTACATTTATTACTGCTGGCACTCCAGTTTGACTGGTAAATTTGTGTAAGTATTTTATTTGTTTTGGGGGATTGGAAAATAGTGTGATTGTGTAATTGCTCGGCATTGTACGACATTAACCTTAAGTGACTTAGTCTCTGTTGTTAAACAGTGATAAAATGCTGTGTTTTCCTTTTGCATGAAAATACTTTTATGTATCGCTTTATAAACAGTCAATCACCTAATCACAAAATGCAATCTGAAACTGGACTCAATTGTCTTTGAAGAGCCCGTTGTAAAAATCATGCTTGTAATAAATGTACAAATGTGATTTTTGTTTGGTTTAAATATGGTTTTAAAGTACTATATTGATATGTGCATGCTTGTTATCATTACCTGGTCGTAATAATCAATAATGAGACAATAACGTGATTGACCCTCTGATACCGACAGCCACTGTTCCTCAAGGCTTTTAAACCAAAAATGACAACATTTAACATCCACAGACCCACAGAAAGTAAATTTAGTCACTAATGCCTAATGAAGTGAATCTTTGTGAATACATAGCTTAAATCAGTTGTGTATTATTGTTTCTGTTTTTATAAATAAAGACAAGAGCTAAGAATTGGTCAGAGATGTTGCTTTAACTATTTGTCTGTCAAAGTAAACTTGTTTTTCAAAGGAGGCATTGTTGCGCTAATACAATGATGGATTAGTTATTGGGAAGTAGCATTATGATACTACATAAATACTCAAATTTAATTTGAAGTCCTGCATTCATAATTTAACCAAAGCAGAAGTAGTATTTTCTTTCAGCAACAAAAGGGAAACTATGTAAGTCATTATATCTTGTCCATATTGCAGATGGACGATGTGTTTTATTTTTTATTTTTATTTATTTTATAAATACTTTTTGGGGATTTATATCAATTTTCTATTTCTTTAATCATTATTAATGATACTTTGGTTTGTAAAGCTTAAGAAACTTCCCCTCACATTTATCCAAATTCCAAAGTGACACCTTTTGTCCAATCAATATGTGCAAAACTCCAAATTATTTGGTTAAAATAGTAAAGTAAAAATAGCAATTTTTTACATTTGGAAAGCTGGAACCAGTAAATGTAATAAAGTAAATATGCTTCTCTAGAGATAGATGGCTGGAGGACTTTGTACATCTCCCTAGCATGGAAAAGGCCTCCACCATTTGTAGGGGCTCTGACCGGGACATAAATGAGATCAGGGACACCATGAGATCCTTTATAGACTCACAAGAAGACATATATTTCTTCTTGTATGCTTGACGATACCACTCTTGCACTCCGCCAACCTGTTTTATCTACTCATCTATGTGTCTGCGTATCCATCCCCACTTCAAATCATCTGCACGGGTGTTGACATGTGATGTGTGCACCCTAGGTACCTAAGATACACTTTCCCACCTTATTTATGTTGTGGTTATTGTTTTGTTACTGTTGTTGTCTGTGTTGTTATTGTTGTGGATATCCTATAGTTTCCTGTTGATGTGTATTTGTATTTCTAATAATAATATAAATCATAATATAATGATCAGTAAGTTGTTTTGGGGGGGGGTGATAATATTGTGTGGGATGTCGAGCAGAATATCACACATATTTAAGATGAGTTAAATATATAATGCAAACATTAAATGTAAATGCAAATTGCTTGTGTGCGCGCGCATCCCGTGACACGTGACGTGACGTGATATATGGGGGGGGGGGGGCTCATTGGCTGCTGGACTTTTCCCACAGAAGTTGAAGTTACAACCTGCAGAGACTCTGCGATACTAGAGACAGTGAGACACCACCTCAGCTGCGAGCGTGTGTGAGAGTGTGTAAGAGTGTGTTTGAGAGTGTGTAAGAGTGTGTGTGAGAGTGTGTGAGAGTGTGTGTGAGAGTGTGTGTTTCCTCTGCACCTGAACAACAACATGTATAAAGTTGGGTCCTGTCTTCGGGGACGCGCTGTGCCTCTATCGGGAACGCTCCGCTGGCGACCGCCAAGCTCGTCCACAGAATTCCACCTGCCAGCTGGTGAGTCACCATGGAGACCATCATATGTGTGGGGCCCTGCCTCAAATGACCCCGATCACTGGTGGGGTCTTATTCCCTTTAGAAATAAATCAGCTGGGGTTTAAAGTCAAATATCAACAGTTGTATAATTAATATATTCATCACGTTTTGGGGGCAGATCCTGATTTAAAGATCTTATTTTAACCATGGCGAAATTGGCCATAGCCTTGGCAGAAGTATTTTTTGTTGTAAAAACTGAGTGAGGCTTAACCTCACAATATAAAAATGTCCATTCCAATGGTTTCACAGGTGCATTATATCAGAAAACATCCCCCAGACACCTCCCCACAGACATCCCAGAGATGCCCCCATGCAGTTTCAAACCAGAGGAATACAAGGTAGAAGCAACGTCCTCCAAACATCACCACGGCGTCTCTAGCTCTTTGACAAACTCAGCCTAAAGGAAAACAAAAGATAAACACCCTAACTATACCATGGCTCCTTTTCTCCCATTTGTGTTTGTCTCTGTTCAGGGAATGTCCAAGGAGCGGATGATGGAGATCCGCAGAAAGAACTGCAACCCAATGATCATGAAGGTTACCTCCTATAAGAAGCCAGTGTTTGTCCACCAGGGACACATGCAGTGGCTGTGGGACGTGGACGGGAAGCGATATTTGGATTTGTTTGCCGGCGTGGCAACAGTCAGCGTGGGCCACTGCCACCCGTAAGATCTTTCGTTCTTTACTGGGTCACAAACTGATTGTAGATCCATTCATCCATCCATTACCTATGCTGCATGTCCCCTTGAGCCACACCCTTGACCAGCATATTGCAGGGCCAACATACAAAGACAAACAATCCTTCACACTCAAATTCACACTATACGGTAAATTTAGAGTGTCTATAATTAACCGAACCCCTGTCTGCATGTCTGTGGACTACGGGATGAAGCAGGATGAGTATCTGGAGAAGACCCACACAGACATGGGGGAGAACACGCAAACTCCACACAGTAATCAATGTTGATTACATACGTGTCTTATTTCTGACGTCTGTATGTACAGGAGAGTAACAGAAGCTGCTCTGCAGCAGTTGAAGAGACTGTGGCATACGACCAACATCTACGTCTACCCTCCTCTGCATGAGTATTGTGAGAAACTAGCTTCCCACCTCCCAGATCCTCTGAAGGTACTGTTGTGGATTCCTTATTTAGATCACCTTTGGGCAGGAGTGTTGATCCATATTTATGCTAAAATTAAAAATGTCACCCCCTTTGTGTTTTCCTGTCTAGGTGGTATATCTGACCAACAGTGGCTCAGAAGCCAATGAACTGGCTATGTTGATGGCTCGACTCCACACAGGCAACTTCGATATCATCACTCTGAGGTTGGGTCTTGTGTGGCGAGTCACAAACGATCATTGTGTGCTTTAAAATTATGCAAAAAAATATATGAAAATGTTCACTGTAATAGAAATGCTTGATATTATACAAGATTTAAATAGCAGGACTTTTAAATTAGGTTAAAGATTCAAATTCACTTGCAGTGTTTAATTTGTTATTATTGGTTTTACAGTAGTTTGTTTTTCCCAGTGATGACTGTTATTTGAGGCGCAGTTTGAAGCAGCACACACTTGTGTAAACACACACTCAGATTACAAGGTTGATGGTTCCAGCTTCAGGAATATCAATATTTATATATGGTAGAAATATTCTCATATTCCTTCAGTATGTTTGAATTGATTTTTGTCTTCCAGAGGATCTTACCACGGTGGCAGCCCACAAACCTTGGGTCTTACTTCCAACGCAGCTTATAAATATCCCATAGCCGGTGCTTCAGGCTGCACAAATGTATGTATGCAACAGTGTCGTACAATGAAATATAATAAGAAAAGCACACAGCTAACACCATATTATTTTATTTTAATGTATCTGAATATGACCTGGCAATATAAATGGATAGTTGTGTTGAGCTCACACACACACACACAAAATGTTGTTCCACGATGTTCCAAGCAAAACATTTCATAGCTTGAAATGTATTCCTCTTTTTCTCTCCTTTACTAAACTTTTCCCATATTTTTACACTGATCCCATAGATTCATGTGAAATATGTTATTTTATGATGATATCTTTGTGCTCTTTTAACGATGAGTTACTGCTGCTGCTGTCAGGTTGACCGAGCTGATCAGGTTTCTGCCCTATGAACAGACCATGTGTCCTGATGTGTTCAGAGGTCCCTGGGGAGGAAGCCACTGCAGGGACTCTCCGGTTCAGACCATCAGAGATTGTGGCTGTGCCCAAGGTACACAAACAAGTGCACACACTCGCACTGTTCTTATAAAAAAGGGGAGAAAAGATCATGATGCATTACAGTCATGTTTGCATTAGTCCTTCAAATCATTTACTACACTTTCATATAATGTCTTCATGCATGAAGATACAAATATGTCTGGAAGTTGTGTTTATTATAATTGCATTTGAATTTAAAAGCAGCACAACATCTGTAAAAAACTGTATCTTTTGTTTGACTGAAAAATTACTTTTGCTCTGTTTTTATCCTGAAAATGAGACAAAAGAAACTCTAGAAGTGCCTGTGTAAAGTTCAGTATCCTGCTGTTGATCATTTACCTCTGTAACCTTTCACCTTCTGCCATTTTCAGGAATTGTAGTAATAGTTTGACTGTCAGCAAGCGAGTTAAACTGGAAAAAGTCAGGAATGCAGTCAGGAATGCAAATTAATGTTGACACAAACTGCAATCAGCTGCAAGTTATCAATATCAGTAATTAACAGCCATGTTGCTCTGCTTTATATAGAATAATATAAAACGGCAGCAGTTGTTACAGTGGTGAGACATATGGAAAAAAATTCAAGTTCTTCTCCTGGCATTGATGAAACATCTAAAAACTCATCTGTCACCGAAAATGTCGTATTCCATGAACACATGCAATTGAAATGGCTTACTCCACACCCTTGCTTTATTTGAATCTCCACTAAGCCATCATCTGCTCACCTGCAGCTCTGACTGCTCACTAAACACACAACCCTCTGCTTATTTTGGGGATGAATTCAGGCATACATGTTTAAACACACATGACAAGAGATAATGCACTTTGTATCACTCTCGGAAACAACAGTAACGGTTAAGACAAGGCTTCTGCTTGACAGTGTCAAAGAGCAAATGTGTTGCTAATGTTTGACAAACCTTGCTCCCGACTTCTGGATCCAATTTTACCAACTTTACTTGCAAAATACATATTGGACTCATCATTTGAAACTCAGCAGCTTGCCAATTAAGCACAACCAAGAGGTGAGTGCACATTAGTCCGGTTTTAGCCAATCCACCTTTGAATCCTGTAAATGCTATTTAGAAAAGATTGGACTCAGTGTACAGAACAAAAGTATTTAGCGATTTCGGTAAATTGTCTAAAAGACTTTATACAAAAGCTGATGTGCAGACTGGGCTTACTGTAACAATGGGTGCTGACAAATTGATATTTTCAGAGTACACAGACCAAAGGCTTCTAAAGGATGCTCCAGGTGTGAGGATGCAGAAGGAGCACATATTTGAGGTTGTGGGTGTGCTGGCCTGCAAGGCAAGAAAGACTGGTTTAAGATGTACCTGTACATTTTTAGTAGAGATGTGGTGGTTAAACTTAGCACCGTACCAGTGAGACTTGGGCAAAAAACGATTCAGATGTGCAGCAGTGTTGCCATCATTGCTCAGCTCATAGATTTTATACAAAGACAAAGATTATTTTGGGATTTTCCATTTGTCTATGCATGCTAATGTGTGTAGTAAATGATTAAAAGGTCATGTTTTTGTTCATCCCACAGGTCATTGCATGGCAAATGAACAATACATTGGACAGCTCAAAGACACCTTTGCTACTAGTGTTCCAAGTCGAATTGCTGCTTTCTTTGGGGAGCCCATCCAGGTACCACATTCTGCTGTGGAGCAGAAATATAGTGTTAGAATAATAAATACAGTTTCAGATCTGTTGTTTTGACACATTGAATATTACAAGTTTTTACTGCATGTCATATACTGTTTGTAAATAAATACACAATTGTACTTACTGAGTATATCCAACTTAAATCTGAAAAGTCAGAACACAGTTGTCTGTGAAGCGTACGTGTTGTTTAATATGGGATGTGTTTGTGTTTGGTATATACAGGGAGTTGGAGGAGCTGTGCAGTATCCTAAAAACTACCTGAAGGAGGCTTATACACTTGTGAGAGAGAGAGGTGGGGTCTGCATTGCTGATGAGGTAAAATATCTATAATGTATTTTATTTAGATTTTTAGATGGATTTTTTATTTACAATAAATATACTACACATTTCAGTGGCTTAAAACATCCACCTTTAAAAAATTATTAGCAAACAATCCCCTATTGACTATCCATTGGACAAAAATCAATATTTTCATTCATTTGAAAACCTTTTGAGATTTGTTTCTGGTTACCTGGCGGAAGTCCCACGTTCATTTTAATGAAAAATCTGCCATAAAAACAGCAAGAAGATAAAGACTGTTCCATGACAAAGTTGCTATATTACGCCCAAAGGAAAGGCGTAAAAAGCAAGCACCATATTGCAAGCCTTTTGAATGCAAGGTACTAATGGACTGCTGCGGTTTAAAAATCTACACAAACCCTTTTGTTGACTTGCGTCTTGCAGGTGCAGACTGGATTTGGACGAACAGGAACCCACTTCTGGGGTTTCCAAGGTCATGATGTCATTCCTGATATGGTTACAATGGCGAAAGGCATCGGTAATGGATTCCCAATGGGAGCTGTTGTTACAACACCAGGTGAGATAATCCTGTGAGACATAAAAACCCTTATTGACCAACTACATTATGCATAGTGTGTTGTTAGTGTAGGTTGACGAGATGCAAGATGAGACAGTCTCTGTTTGGATGAATAATGCAGCTTTATTTTGTGAGAGTCTGAATCAACAGGCTCAAAACAACATCTATTCATTAATAATGTAAAAAGATGAATTGGAGCAAACCTATTTTAACTATCTGAAGCTATTCATGATGTTTGGCAGATCAGATATTATGCTACATTAAAACAATTTTTATCAGAGCAAACCTTCCCTCACCAAGGACAAGGGCATCCTACCAGCCAAGGCGAATCCACGTGGTAACAAATGCTGCAACACAGCGACACGATAACAACCCCCACCACTTGTGAGCATTGTGGACTGCTCTCTTTCAAGACAGGACAAAGCTTGCCTGGGACCAGCAATTACCCCATCACAAGCGAGCCAGCTGGAGTGAACAGCCTCATGTCGTCACCTTACTAAACTTCCATCTGCACTTCAGAGACCTCAGCACATGGATTGGAACAAACCTCTGCAGGCATCTCCCCTCTGCCCCACACAGGCCCCACCCTGCCCTTCCAACCCATTTGTTTTCAGTCACTGTTGAAGGCTACCACCCAGGCCTCTGGAACTGTAAGAAGTAAAGGGAAACGTGGTCAAATAAGGCAGCAACAGTTTCATTGGTCGACGTCTTCTATTGGTTCATTTTACAACCAGCATGAGCAGAAGCAGCTCTAGTGAGAAATGGTGCTCTCATGATGAAATAGGAATGAATATGACTGGTGACTCACCACGGATGATGCATATGAGCACATACAGCAATGCATTAGCATCAAAGTGCACAGGCTATAGAGGCTTTGTGACACTAATCCCATGAGTGCTTCAACCTGTGATGGTGGTAGTTAGATTAATGATGAAGAAAATACCACACAGCCGTCAGAACCAATTTTTTTTGCATCTGTTTTGCTTGTTGCCATGGTTCTAAACCCACTTTATCGACATTGTGTGTTGATTACCACAAAGAATACAAGTACATCTATTTCTGGTAGCGAATGTGTGATTGCAGTATTTTTTTGTTGAGGTAGCAAGGGGCTGTAACCCTCTTAGTAATCGAGCTTCAAATGACTTTATTCTAAGACCTGCAGTGATTTCTTTTTCATTTCACTCTTAAAGTTAACTTGATGACAGATTGAGACCCCTCAGTCGACCGGCTTTTTAGTTAATTTATTTCCTGTTGCTTTGGCTTCAGTGTGCCGTGTACTTAAGGTATTTCTGTCCAAATAAGCATCTGCAAAGTGAGAGCTCCATGCTGCTCAGAGGGATCACCGGAAAGGAACTTAAATGTCATTGCAATCACCCAACAAAAGTAAAAATTCAAGTGTTGCTTGATAGTCCACATATTTAAAAAAAGAATCTGCAATAACACTTCAGTGATCATGAAGAGAGTCAGACTAAATATATATAGTCAGATGAGGTTTTTATCCAAAAGCAGCGGTGGATGAAGGTATGAGCTTGTTTGTTCATATGTTTTCCAGAAATCGCAGCCTCGTTTGCCAAGGGCGTTCACTTCAACACGTTCGGAGGGAATCCCATGGCCTGTGCAGTCGCTTCATCAGTTCTTGACGTAAGAATTCATCTTGTCTTTCTACAGTACTCCTTTTGAGGATGCACATATTGTAAAATAAATAAATAAAAAGCTGCTGAATCACTTAAGCGCACTGAATTACACCATGTTTATCCCTTTTACTTAACAGACAATCAAAGAGGACGGCACGCAGCAGATCAGCCTCAACGTGGGCACCTATCTGATGACGGAACTGGCAAAGCTCCGAGACAAGTACGAGATTATCGGGGATGTCCGTGGGAAAGGCCTGCAGATCGGTGTGGAAATGGTCAAAGACAAGGTATTGAGATTGTGACGCAGTGACACACACTCACACTCACTTTCCACTCACATGTTTGTGCAATGTGTGCTGTGCCTCCTGGGGGGCATGGTTCAGCAGTGCCCCAGTTAACCATTAGCCGGAGCAGCATCTGGAATTGTGAGAAAAAGAATTCCAGTTGCAGTGCATGTACGTGCTTCTTCTTTTCTTCTGTAATTAAATAACATATTTCTGACTCTGGCAGTATTTTCTGCTCAAAGTGGTGCATATATCAGCGGCACACACCACAAAAGTAGCAAGTAGAAGTGTCTCAAAATGTATGATATATATGAAACACAGGAAACTTTCAAATGTCAACAGTCACTCATCGTTTAACATTTTCTCTTGTCATCCTCAGGCCAGCAGAGACCCTCTGCCTCCTGAGCATGTAAGTGAGATCTTCGAGGACGTCAAGGACATGGGGGTCCTGATAGGGAAAGGAGGAATATTTGGACAGGTACCAGCCCTCACCCTCTGTCTTGTTTATTTGCTGGGTCTGCATGTGGTAAAAACACACCCATATCAGAAAGCTAGTTAAAAAAGCCATCAGACAAACATGTCTGCATAGGATTCTACTTCTGTTAGTGACTCCACAAGAAGATTGACCAATGACACGTTGTTTGTGCTTTTGATTCTTTGGTTTATGGGACATTACCGTAAGATCGTCTCACCATTTTCAGACATGACCTCTGTGGAAGGTGCCTTTCAGAGATTCTGCTCTCGGACATGTTTTGCTGCAGAGAGCTCGTGTTCTTGTTTATAGAACGGCGTCGGCTCTTATCACCGAAAGCTCTTGTTTTCTTAGTTTGTTTTGCTTTTTGTGTCTGTCGAGCGTTAGAAACGTCATAAACACCAGCAGCTTGGTGATAAAGGAGAAAAACACATTCTTCATAAGCTCTGTATTTATGAATCGCTTCCCCCTTTATCTGATGTTCAGGCTGATGTGATGCTCTGCCGTCAGTGTGACAAATAATAAGGCCCCTCACCTGGTTAAACACTGCTCATCAGTATCTCTGCTATTTTCTGTTTCACCTTTTCAGACCTTCCGTGTCAAACCCCCCATGTGCATCACGATGGAAGACGCTGATTTCTTCCTGGCAGTTTTTGAAAAGTCCGTCCACAACTTCATGGAGAGAAGATGAACGCCATTCTGACCCTCTGAAGAAGTGAACTTCTCTTGAACTTTTCTGAACCATGTCTAATAATTATAATTATTATAAAAGCTCAATACACAATAACTCATGAATCAAATGAGAAATCTTACAAATGTTCTTTTCTGATCCACTTGGATGTAACAATGTATTGTAATTTGTGAAAACATGCTTTTCTGATGAATGTAATAACAATGAATCTGTAGGTATTTTGTCTATTTCTCGTATATAAGCGAAGAACAGCTTCAATGATCTTTTTTAATCCAGTTGAGCCCATTTATATATAACATATTAATTATCTTGCATTAAGTTGTTTCTTTATCCTATTGCTGGAAAATAAACGTTTTTGTGGAGGTAACAGGGTAAATATCTTATTTTACACACTGGTGAACTGTGGAAGGTTTACCCCCCCCCCCGCCCAACGACAGATTGGGAGACTGATGTTTTTTTAAACTAGTCTGCAAACCAACAATGAGGGTACAGGTGTATGTTATGTACAGATAAAGCTAATAACAGTTTATTGTCGGTCATTAGAAACATTTATGAAATCAGTCCAGGATTGTTGTATAAATACCAACATGCATCATCACATTTATTTTCAGAATGCAGTCTTCATGACAAATAGAGAGATGGTTTTTCAAACAGTTAAGTATCTGGTTGTGTGTTTATGTTGCGACGTCCTGTGTGGGTTTAGCTGTACAGTGATTCGTAAGTTACTGAGAGAGGTTGTGGTTCAGCACAATATCCCTCACACATACACACAGTCACCCAATATGATAATTGAGAATTTAAAAATAAAAACTATCCTCTTGGCTAATTCCACTTTTTAAGTTCATCTACCTCCTGGGACACGTTTCATTGTCTTTCAGCTTCATCAGCCCGGATTCAGTCGTGTTATCTGTTCTTCCTCTTGTCTTTTTTGCTCTTGCTTGTTGCACTGTGTGAGGCGTTTGCAGAGAGAGCGGTGGCGTGACCGCTAGTCTTTAGGTGGTCAAACAACTTGTTTCTCGTGGGGAACTCGTAGTTGCAGGTCCCACAGCGAAGGTTCGCTTCCTTCTGGAGGAGGAAATAGGGATAAATGATTTAGTAGTTTGGACACAGATGGATGGACAGACTTACTGATGATTATAAGCCAATAGGGGGAGGTGTCTGAATTTATAATAAGAAAAACAAATGACTGTAAACCTCTGATTTATTGTACAAACCTCAGGGACCTCGTCTCCTCCTGTGTTTGACTTGACATTCTTCGTTTTGTCTTTTCCTCCTCCCTTCTTTCCCTTCGTCTTCCCAGCGCTGTAGATGCAACATTTAAAATGACAGATGAGTAATTTTATCAAATTATAAAACTGTTAAACAACTTGTGTTTTCCTTCATGGATTCATCCAGAGATCAACTGTGTAACACGATCCCTTATTTCTCTGACACTATACAGTCCGTCTCCCTTTCTTTTACCAAGTGCACATTCAATTATTCAGGTTCTTGTTTTTCCAAAGAGCTTGATTACAGTGACACAACTGGACTTCACAACTTTCATGGTGGCATTTTGAAACAGACCAGAGAAGGGACATCTGAGCCTAATTGTAAGATTTCATACAGATTGAGTGACAGTTTAGTTATTTAAAGCTGCACTCGCAGAAATGGTCATGTTGATTATAGAGATCAAATACAAATGAATGGGAATCAGAAGCTGTTACTTCACAAACCCACAGATGTAGCAAAACCTGGCCTGACCTCTTGACTTCTGTGGGAGGGGGATCATCCTCCTTCTCAGGCTCTGTCGGGTCCGCAGACGTATCGGGGGCGTCTTCCTCGCACGTGGTCTGCGTAGGTTTCTCCTTCTCCTCCTCTTCCTCTGGAGGGCTCTGCTGTGAAGGAGGAGAACATAAATAGAGAAAATATGAAGCTTTTATAAGAAAGGTTCACTCCACAGTCATCATGACAACATCCATTTATATTATTAAAAAAAATAAATAAGAAAGACTCACGTGTACGACTTCCTTCTGTTTCTTTTTCCTCTTTTGTTTTTTGGACAGCCTGTGTAGGTGGAAAGAAAAATGTCAACAAAAATAAGAATGAAAAATACAAATGAATAACAAGGTTTATTTTTTTCTACTATCACACGCAACATTAGCTACATACTTTTGCCTTGGCTTTTCTTCCTCCTCCTCTTCCTCCTCCTCCGGGTCATTATCCTCATTTCCTCCCTCCCTCCCGTTGACGTTCAAACCTAGTGAATCCTCTTCCTGCTCCAGCTGTTGCCTTAGCAACACCACCATCTCCCGGTGCTTTTTGGATTTTTCATGGTTTTGCATTCTGGAGACGGAAATTGTTTTTAAAAAGCATTAAAAACAATGAAGTGTATAAAAGCCCTTAACAAATGTTTTATCACAGATGAATACTTGCTTATCTTTCATCTATCTATCTCTCATAAGCTGCTTGTTGCACCTGTTTCTGTCACTCGTTCCATTGCTAGATGCTTTTAACTTTGCAGGAGTCCTTGCGATGACTGATTTCAGTTCTCTCTTTAATATTGTCAGTAGGATTTAGGTCAGAGGTGATTGCTGGCCTGTTTAAATGAGTCCATCTTTACCATTTGGAACAAAGCCCCACGGCATGAAGGTACCTCCAACATGTTTTTACTGGAGTCAGTGTGTTCTTTTCCATACGGCCTTTAATATGTAACAACTGAACTAATGCACTGCATTTCCAATCAGTCGATGCGTTTTAAGTCCTACTTGGTTTAGTTTGCTTCTTATGGCACAGACTGAAACCACCACTTCAGATTTTTCATTCACTCAGACAGTAGCTGTCTTGTCTTCACCATTTAAGATTATAAATAAATTAAAAAAGCTTTGAATAGTGAGTTCAGAAGACAGGAAGAGGGGTGGGGTGGGCGGGTGGATACTCACGCTTTATCTGATTTGAATAATTTGTCACAGGCTGGGCAGTACAGGTCGTCATAGTATTCAATCGTCAGTTCGTCTTCATCAGGCTGCTCTGCATTGGTCAAAATAAATCAAATTCGAATGTGTGAACATTTCTCTCAACACCAGCAGCTTTATGCCAGTTATTACCGGATTCTTTGAGATGAATTGAAAATAAAACTGTGACATAGTAAACAACAGTTACTGAACCTAACATCCTCAGGGAGGGATCTACTGGCTGTTCCTAAATCCCAGCTCAAGATGAAAGAGTTAAACACACTTCTCGTGTCCGCTGAGATCTGCATCCTCATTCCAGTCACATGTACATCCCCACGGTTCCATTCATACAAAGATGCGGGTCTATGTCTTGGCATTCCACGCATGCGCTCCTGATTCCCACATTCCATTGCAGTAAGTGGATATATTGCACCTGCAGTATGTGCAGTCGACCTCTACAGTCAGCCCGGTCACAGATTTTGGGCTGTATGCAAATGTAGTGCAGTGGAAGACGACATTTACGAGATTAGAGGAGATTTTCAATGTCACACATATATATTTTTCAAAATACACTATTTTTATGACCTACACAAAATTTTTTTTTTTTTATTGTTATGGTATTAATCCTCTATTTTACATTTTATTTCTCCACTATTTAATTCCTTGATCTTATTTGCTTTAGTCCTGAAGTGTTTTAATCCTGTTTCAACCACAATATGTAAACCACTTTGAAACTGTGTTCTGAAAAATGCTTTGTAAATAAAGGTTATTAATAATAATAGCATTTTTTAATAGTATAATAATTTCAGTTCTTTGTTATTTAGTTGAACAGTTAACAGTTAACAGTTTACAGTGTATTAGCCATTCAGCTGGTTTTATATTAGACACAGGAGGTGAATGGGCGTCCTGTGGGAGGCTTCTATCCGTAGTTCTGCCTCAGATTTCTCCAGTTGAAATCCTCCCACACGATCGACTCGAATATGCTTTCATTTTAGTCCCTGCAGTACCGTGTTTACTTTCTTTCATTTGCTTTGCATTACGAGTCCTTGTGTTGAAGTCCCGAATTGGATTTTTTTCTGCTCATTTTCTCTTTGAGTCGTTTCCATCAGTGTAATAAAGAACTTGGGTTGCAGTGAGCAGATGGTTTGCTGGATGAGCATTACTGAGAAGAGTCCAATGATAACAGCGATGTTCTTTTCTCTCATCAGAAAAGTGTGGGAGAAACCCACAAGCAGCTCATGTTGACCAATCCAAGTTCTTCATATCCGCTTTAGCAAATGTTTTTATATCTCTATGACATCATTTCATGATGATCTCATCATGGCGTCACTCATACTTTATGATGACGAATGATTGACAAATCTAAATAAGCTGTATATCTTGAGGCTTGTTAATAGCTCAAGTTAATGTATTACACTATATGACGCCATTTCCTGTTGTCATAGTAACATCAGTCCAACCATATGATCATAAGTCATAAGCTAATAAGTCGTGTCTACAGTCCTATAAGCTGCAGAGACACATCTTGAGATACACCCCTGAGTAAAGTTTGGTGAAAACCTGTCCATGCCTTCTTGAGTTATCACACACACACAGAAAAACAAAACCCTGCTCCCGCTAAGCTAGCATGCAGGGGAATAGAGTTTGAATCTGACTCTCACTGACCTCCTCCCTCTTCACTGTTCTTCTCCTGTGTGTCCACATCCTGCTCCTCTTCTTCGCTCTCTGACACATCTCCAAACTCCTCTCCGTACTGAGCCTCGATCTGCTGCAGCTCCTTCTCGAGTTCAGACATGGACGCCCAGCTCTGCTCCTTGTACTCCTCCGCCAGTCTTTGGAGCAAACAACGTAGTGTTGTGAGCATGAAGTTTTAATAATTAATTTAATAATTGTCACTCACTTAACTATCCAAACGCTACTCACTTGGCTTGGCTGAGCTTCTGTTTCCGCCTCAGCTCCTCCACCTTCTTGATCTTCTCTGCGTTCTGCTCCTCCACCAGCTTCCTGTGGGCCTGCACGCGGCGGTCACGTTTGCGAACGAAAGACACCAGCTGTCGCACCAGCTCGTTGCGCTCCTTTCGAGCCTTTTCCCTGGTCTTCTTGTTGTCCTTCTCCATTGCCCTTTTCTCCCAGCGGTTGGACGCCTGTCTCGTGTCATACTCCTCCTTCCAGGCAAAGTTTTTTCGAGTGCAGAAGCTCTGCCAGTAGCCGTAAAACACGTGCACTACCTGTGATATGAAAACAGAACCAGAAACAGTTGAATAAATTAGTAATTTAGCTTTTGTATAAAATAAAACTTTAAAAAAGGGAAGAACCTTTAAGGGAAGTGTCTCAAGTGTGGGGTTAGCTTACGGTATCATAGTCACTCTTCGAGTCTCCAAAGGGAGGAAAGTCCTCTTCCTCATCTTCTACCTTGACGTGCTCCATTTCCTCCTTAACAATGGACTCAAAGAGATTCCTGTAAACTGTGTAAAAACCCTAGGGAGAAAGAAAGTAGACAAAATGAGATGCAGGCAGGATTTCTGCCCCATATCCCTGAAGGATAACGAGTGTTTTGTTGTTACGGTGGTGCCATCTAGTGGTTCTCTTTGAAATTATACAAATAAGAATGTTCTGCCTGGTTTTCATCAAATCTTGGGACTATTTCCTGTGTGGAAATAGAAAATAGAAAGATAGAGTGTCTCTGTGTTATGACGTACCATAAAGACGACTGGACATTTTATAAAGTGGAGTAGAATTGTTTGTGTATCCACCGTCCTGCAGCTGACGTGAATATGGGCTTTAATCAGTCTTTTGATCATCATCATCTCTCCTTTCTCACATTGTTAACAAGTTTTAAAAGAGGACAGACAATCTGACCTGTTGACTTTTGAAATAAGAGGATGTCAAATCAAGTTGTGTCGTATATTTTTAGAGGTTGAGATTACATTTCAAGGTTCATATGCTTTAAACCCTTTGGCAGACTGTGGTAGACCTGGTAGAATGTTTCTCTATTCTTTAGCACACTGAGCGACATGATCCTCACACATGAGCACGTACTCACATTGTCATCATCTCCATAGCCAGAGTAACAGGTGACTGTGAAGTACTGCAGCAGGTCAATACTGTCGTCTTCATAGTCTCCACTCACTCCTCCTTTCAGCAGAGCCTCCCTGTGATTATCATACCTGCAGAGACAGGAAATTACCCACAATGCTACAGTCTGCAGATAACACAATCAAGTTCTACTGAGTCAAGAAGAAAGTTGAGAGATTCTTTTCACAATTAGCGCTGGAATACATTCGTACACACCAAGCTCGCTCCTGTGGATCACTCAGGACATCATAAGCCGCCTGAATCAGCTTGAACTTCTCTGCTGCGTCCTCAGCATTGTCCAAGTTCTTATCTGGAAAATTCAGAGGGAGACCAGAGTTGAAAGCATAATGTTGAATTTAAGCAAGACTTTAAATGTGAAAGTGTAAGGAAGGCCCCAGCAGCCCATTCAAAAGAGCAAGAAAAGATGAATTGCAACCATAACCCTGAAATGTGTTATTTCACGTGTTACATCATCTGCACACATAAAATATCCGTGCCAACATGTTGCTGGTGCATATTGATCACATGAACTGTTCCTAATGATGAGACCCAAACATCTCACTGTGTTCACTACATTAAGGATTTGCTCTGCACCAAAGAAGGAGGGGCAATGTAACTTCTGATCCTGCAGAAGTACAATTTATCATCATACACAAGAAAGACAAGAAGAAAATCTCACATCTACGAAGCTGAAACCTGCATTTATTTGACATTTTGTTTCGAATTATGGATTTAAAGAATTCATTATACAGTTTAAGCTCCACATTCAATGCTACACAATAGATGTTATGATCCACTTGTCAGCTTCACTTTAAGAGACTTTGTGTATGAACCACATTTCTCTGAAAGGTACATTCTCTCTTAAAGGAATGAGAAGTAAACAACTGTGTTCATAGTCATAAGCACATCATGAGACTTTATACTGACCCCGACATGTTACGATCACACTGTTCCTCACAACATAACATCTCTCCATCCATCGCAAAGTCTACGATCAGCTTTGTTTCTTTGCCAAGATTGTAATCGCCTCTTAAATCCATCACAGACGCTGACATGTTGTTTCTAGCACAACTTACCTGGATGCCATTTCAGCGCTAGCTTACGATACGCTTTCTTTAAATCGTCATCTCCCGCGTCTCGTTTCACGCCCAACACTTCGTAGTGACACTTCATCTTCGGATAAACTGTAAAAAACTAAAAACTGTCTCTGAAAACACAAACTCTCAATGTTGCTCACGTTGTCCCGGGCGAGGCTAACCTTAGCATTTAGCTAACTGCGGCGTGCTAGCAGCCAGACAGCATCACTGGCTTATCTGTGAAATGACCCGGAAGTCTCAGGTGAACGTGACGCTGCTGTAGTTTCTGCCTGTTGCATATTTAAACCTCTGCGATGTTAAAATGAAAACACAACAGCTTCTTCACACTGTTGTTTCTCAGCGGCTTTTAGCAACCGTAAACACACGAGATCTGAGTGCTGCCGGTAACTCTCGCGAGAATACATGTTCTTCTATTTATTACTTCGGCTGATTTGAAGCGACAAGCGTGTGATACTGCCCTCTATCGTTCAAATTATCGAATGGCTGTATCTGTAACTATTTGGAATAATAATAATAATAATGATAATAGTCAGTATTATTATGTATCTGCTAATTTATTTCACAAGTTCGCTGTTTATCAATCATAATGGCAGATAAGCAGTAGGAAATTAATGAATAGATGGATTTTTCAATAAAAATATATGAATATCTAAATTGACTCGTAAAGTATTGAGCTTGTTTGTTGCTTCTCTGAAGGTTAAGATTGAAATGAAACTATTTCACACACCTCCTTTCACCATGTAGGTCACCTGCAGTACTGCCTCCGCGCCACTAGAGGGCCCCCTCGCCTCCTCCGTCCACACGTGTGTTGTGTGAGTTCCTCTGTGGCCGCACGAGCTCCGCGTCTCAAAACTCAACATGTCCGCGTTCAAGAGAAAACGTGGAGGACCCGGTCCCGCAAATAAAAAAGCAAAGAAGGTTAAAATAGTCGCAGGCGGCGACGAAGAGTCGAGTAAAATAAACGAAGTCACGATTCCTGCTCCGGTTTCTTCGGTAAGTTATTAACCACCGACGTTAGCTAGCTCGTTAGCTCAGATCAACTCTTCTACATGTGTGTGTTGTATTGAATTTGCTAAATGTCGCTTTACAATTAGTTTTAAACACGTAGATTCAGCTAGCACACTCTTATATGTTTAGAAACACAACGTAAACATGTATGTGTAATGAGAGGCTCGATAATCAACATGTTGGTCAGTTGCTTGATGATTTCTAACGAATAAATAAACTGAGACAAACATTATATGTATATTTTCCTGCCTGACCAGAGGAAGAGACTCGTACAAAGTGCACCATGCTTTCATTAATTACACTGTTTTATTTTGAATGTGTGGTATTTCCTGTCGTGAACAGGGCAGATGGACCAACAAGGAGCGAGTCCTCATTTTCTCCTCAAGAGGAATCAACTTCAGAACCAGACACCTGATGCAGGATTTAAGGACCATGATGCCTCATTCCAAAGCAGGTTGGTGTCATTCATGGAAAGTCGAATCTCACCCAGATACACGTTCTGACATCACGTTGATCACAGATGTGGGGTTTGTTTGCTTCTATTTGTTAGATACGAAAATGGACAGAAAGGACAAGTTGTTTGTGGTGAATGAGGTGAGTCTGTTGTTCACTCTCTGGCCAAACTCTTGTGTCACAGACATTTGAGCAGAGTTAAAGACTGTCTTTGTTTTGCAGGTGTGTGAAATAAAAAACTGCAACAAATGCCTCTTTTTCGAGGCCAAGAAGAAGCAGGACCTCTACATGTGGTGAGTGTTTTATCTTTGACCCCGTTCAGACTGCGATGTCAGATCTGATCACGAGTGGTCAAAGGAGATGCGTTGTGAACACGTACTTATCGCTGTCTTATCTCTCAGAACAGTCTGAACAGAACTTTTGACACATTCGTTAAGCATTTAGAACCAATTATAAAGGAAATGAACTATGTTCTTGTCTCTGCAGGATTTCAAACAGCCCTCATGGACCTTCTGCAAAGTTTCTGGTTCAAAATAGTGAGTTCATTCTTCCTTACGGGCCTGGAGTCCCGTGGACAACATCCATCTTCATGTGCCACAGGAATAAAAACTAAAGTAATGTCATTGTCTCGTTCACAGTTCATACACTGGCTGAACTCAAAATGACAGGAAACTGTCTTAAAGGATCCAGGCCGCTGCTGTCGTTCGATCCGGTGAGTACCGGAAGACACACTGACAGCATTTTTAGTTTCCCATCGTTGACCTGGAGTAATAAGTGGTGCTATATTCCCTGTCATCTTTGACTGACCATTGTCTAGAATATGTAATTTCATGATCTGACCTTTTTTTCTACATTTTCCTCCACAGACATTTGACAAGGAGCCTCAGTATGCTTTACTGAAGGAGCTCTTCATCCAGGTCTGTTTACATGATGCTGGACAGAATGTTAATCTAATTACATTTGATATTCTGACAACAAGCAGTAGGTTGTACATCTAACTTCTTCATGCAAGGACGTACTCATTGTTTTTTTTTGTTGTAGACATTTTCTACTCCACGTTACCATCCTAAGAGTCAGCCTTTTGTCGACCACGTCTTCACATTCACTATCGCAGACAAGAGGATATGGTTTAGAAACTACCAGGTAATGTGTGCGAAAAATGTCATTGAGTAGATACTTCAACGCTTCATGAGATTGTCTCTTCCAGGGTTGAGATATTTGCATTTTCCTTTTCTTTGGTAATAATTGCTCTGTCCACTGTTAATGTGCAGATCATCGAGGAGGACGCCTCTCTGGTGGAGATCGGGCCTCGCTTTGTTCTCAACCTCATTAAGATCTTTCAGGGGAGCTTTGGAGGGCCCACTCTCTTTGAAAACCCAGATTTCCAGTCTCCTAACATGGTAAAAACCCACTTCATGCTGTTATTTCTGTAAATATGCATTTTGTTGGGTAAAACTTTGGGTGGTAAAATTAAAGGTGACATTAGCATGATACACATTTTTGGTTTTCATGCCCAGGTTGAATCTCCAAAAGTAAACTGGGCAGTTTCTGCAGAGTTTAAATTACACTTTCTCATTATGCTTCCTGCTTGGGTTTATCATGTTTTCCTCACACCTACAGCACCGGCGAGAGATCCGACTCGCAGCGGCAGCCAGAGTCCGTGAGAAGCAGATGGTGAAGGAAATGCAGAAAATTAAGAGGACTGAAGCGAAGGAGGAGCTGGTCAATGATGTCACGGACAACGTCTTCTTTACGCCGGCCGAAGACAAGCCCGTTCACATCGAAACAGAAGCACCTGAGCCGAAAATTTCCAAGAAGAACAAACGCAAAGCTTTGAAAAGGCAAAAGATGCGGATGGCACAGAGGTAGCTGGACGGACTGGATGATGAGTGGATGACTTACTGCTGCAATGACTCAGTACAGTCTCGAGAAAGAGAATGTGGTGATGACACAGTGCAGTCATGTGCATATCAAATATTATGAGACCTCATCACTGAAGAATCACATATTTGACAGTCCTGGAGAAGATCTGAATAATGCATATGTTGTGTTCAGCGTCTGTTGCCATATTGTGGTTTCGTACAATACACTTTTTCTCCCTTATCAATCACAAGAAGATTGTGCAGAACGTAGAGGGTTGCAAAACTTTTTGCAAAGCTTTTGCAACAATGCCAACATTTTCCCAACTTTAATGATTAAAATAACATTTTCCATCATTGTAAAAAAAACAAAACATGTTTATTGAGTTTATCTACAGTTGTTTTCTATGTCCTAGAAATAAAACGATTCAAACTTAATCTCAGTATCTGATGTCTTCTCCAGAAAACGTCATGAAAAATGTCAACTTCAACATTGTAAGTAAATCATGGCCACAGTTGGATAACGAGCCATGTAGACTCATGAAGTTACAGGGTTCACATATTGAGGGGCTTCTGATAAATAGTTAGGTTGCCATAGTAACAAAACCCAATACATTAACTGCATACAATTATGAAATTCTGAACTTGTGTGTCGTGAAGTAACGACACATGTGCACAACAAGAGCAGGTAGGCAACATTATCCTCCCACACGTCCCGTAGCAATGTCCCACTCAACTGTGAGTGTTTAACTAATGATGAATCAGCAGATTTTATTGGAACATGTTCATTATTCATCTTGTCGCGCTGCTTTTATTTCCCCTGTGTGCACCCAGTGGCTGTACAGCCTCCTCTGCCAGAGTTAGTGCTCTTATTCCTGCCCTCAGTGAAAGCAATTGGCCTCTACTGATGGTAAAGTGCTTATTTAAAGCAGGGTTTAATGGACGCACTGTAATCACTCCACCTCCTCATCAGGACAGCAATAATATTCTACAAAGCAGATCTGTCCATCGTCGTTCCGGACCAGGTACTGCAGAGAGAGGAAGCCCCTGCTGTCCGTCCTCACGGAGACTTTACACGACAAAGCAAGAGCTTTGGTGGACGGCTTCAGCAGGGACATCTTGTACCTGCAGCAGTTAACAGGAGGGGACAGCACAGAATGTAGAGCTTTAATGAAAAGAATAGTGTTCTGTGTGTGGTAATAAACTGTCTCCAGTTCTCCTAGTCCACCTTTAGGACGTACCAGTGTAATTCATCCCTCTGTAGTTTTAATAATGCACTTTGATGTTCATGACTGTGCTCACCTGTTTGTTTGAGTCTTTGTGCAGCGAAACAGCTCCATCATGTCTGAGTCTTTGGGATAATCGTAATGGGCGTTTCCAGAGTTTCCAAACGTAGATAACCTAAAGAGAAGAAGAAATCGAGGAGTCAGTTTAATAAAACAAAAAAGGCTTTATGCATACGTGCCTCCTGAAAAGACTGAGTAGTTATTTGTTTATTGACAAAAGGATTAATATTAAAGTATTAAATATTTTGGCACATTAACAATGTAGCCTTAAGACAAATGCAGAAAGTATACTATACAGCATGTAGTGATGCCTCATCAAGCAATAGTTTGAACAGTAATGGCAGTATAAGGTGAACCTTGCACATTATATCGATTCATCAAACCAATCATGGCTTAATAACTGACGTGGGCAAAATATTTTTTCTATGTTTGATCAGTTTTGACAACACACCTGAAGTACGGCTGGCTCGGGGACATGGTGATCTGCAGCACCTCGCTGCTCATATCCAGTTCAGAGAAGGGTTCTTTCAGACTCTCTGACTGCAGGATCACCTTAAAAAAAGACCCAGACACACATGTTATAAAATAATATATATAATCAATTACTACTTTTCATAGTAGATAGTAGACATAGTAGATGCTATATAATCTATTCTTGATTATTATTATTATTAATTTCTTTGAAATTAAGTCAATGATTTCAAGCTACATAAATGGTGTTCATACTGTATATAGGTAGTAAAGGATGGTTAGTATTGGCTTATTACTTCTTTTACTCAATCTGACAATTCCATGTTGATTTACAGTGTCGCCAGGGATCTATAGTGTTTAAGTTTCATGATACGATTGTCAAAGTTCACCTTGTTTATGACATTGGCGCTGCAGAAATCAAAGTCAATTGGCTCTTCTGGTTCTTGTGTGTTGATCTTGCAAACTGTCACGACGCCACCCTCCTCCAGGAACAAGGTCAGAGGGTAACCGTAGCCTCTGTAGCACATTCGTAAAGCTGTTACTCCTGCAGTGTCAGATGAGAGAGATCATGAAGATACTGAGTCAGGTTTGAGAGGGGTAATAATATAATTATACTTTTATATGAAATCAGTTTTCCTTTATCTTTACCTGCTACATTGCTTCCTCCAAAGATACTGAGACAGTCCAACAGAACAGTGAGATTGACCTGAAAACCCACCACATCTTCTTTTATGGTGTACTCTTGGAAGATCTCAGCCTGTCATAAAGAAAAAGAGTTTACTGTTTATAATGTCACCATTTAAAGGACATACAATACAGTATTACACTCTGGACAAACCAGGACTAGCTGCACACTCAAAAAACATCTTTAAGGTGTATTAAAAATGGAAACAAACCTGGATGAACGCATTGGCTTGTAGACACTTGGAGTCCTCCACAGTGACCTTCAGGCCGTTGGGTGTAGCGTTGAAGATGGCATGGTCCTTGAAGGTGATGGCTTTCAGTATGTTGGAGAGATTGCGTGCGTTATCCAAACTGGCAACTAAAACATATTGTTCATCGTCAGCTTGAGACTGAGTGGACAGAGGCATTGTGGCGCTGAAATGAAGACACAGGACACAGAGGTTTAGAAGAGTAAAAACTGATACAGCAGCTTCATTAAATGTTAAGAATTAAACACTTATCGCTTCCATTACATCTTAGATTACATGATATTCAAGCATGACGCTGAATTGAATTGATTGAAGTGTCCACATCCAGACCACATGAGTCAGCTCTGGATCCAAAATAACTGAACCAAGATTTAATAAAATTCGGATTGGATTGGATTAAAGTTGGGAATATCTTTATTGTCATTATACACAGGTTCAATGAAATAGCAAAACATTTAATTGTAATTAAAGCAAAGATGCTGAAGACAATTTTAAACTCAGGTTAAGATTAATGAAACATTTATTACATTTGTGAAAACACATAGAAGTGATGACTTTATTGAACTAACAGACCAGGTCGCGACCAGAAAACAATATGTTTATGCTCGAAAGCTCAGGACTGTCTGAAGCAGTGAACATTTAGCAGTGTGTGGGTGAGTCCTCAGGGTGGCGACGATTAGAAGGACAAGATCGTGTAAACTGTACAACGAACACAGTGAAGTGTCATTCCCTGTATCTTATGCATCTATTTTAAGCTAGGCTACAAATAGGTATAGTCTAAAACAAATGGCTAACTGTCGCTAATTCCGCTGCTATGCTAATGCGTTGCACACGCTGGTACATCCTGTGAATAATGTATAGTAATAATGTCTAATTAACAGCGGTGTTGAGTGTGTGAGTCACTTACAAAGTTGTAATTCTGAAACTCGCTCGGTTGTTTTGAACAACTGCGCCGCGGCGATTTACTTCCGCTTCTCTCTTCTTCTACGGAAATACGTAGCTGCGCATGCGCCGTGCTAACATTCCGGAGATTTCGCAGCAGCGTTCAAAACACAGGAGAGAAAAAGCTCGTTCACGCTGATTTTACGTGACCACGCGGGTGTTTTGTGATCAGAGGTTAGTATTGCTGCTTATATGAAGTCACGTGGCTGGTGAGATGTTGTCCAGCCTGCAGGTTAGCTACAAACAGCTGTAGCGTTAGCCACCGAGCGACGACAGGAAGCTAACGTTAGCTAACAGCCTGGCCTGTCGACTGTGTTTCTCTAATCAGTAACGAGGTAAAAGCGCAGGAACTCATGTCAGGTGAGGCCTCGGGTTGTTTAAAAACTCAAGATCTACTTTGTTAATGAGATCTGGAAACACAGCATCTCTAACATTAGCTCCCGTGTTGCTGGAGACGAGCCTCACAGCTGAGTGACGCAGTGACGGCAGCAGAACGAGACGTGTTTACGATGTAATGCTTCATTGCCACCCAACTCGGTTGTTTGGAATATGCCTCAGTGTGCCCAGGACGATCGATCACAGCATAACACATAAGAAGACAAGAAACAAAACACATGAACCACACCCTATAGAATCACAACATGCATCTGTGGATGGAAAATGCAGAATACAATTAAATCCAGTAAAAACCAGTGGAAATAGAAGAGCACGTCCGGTGCTTAAAAACACACTCAAATTCAGTGGTAGGTTTTCGTTGGTGAAGTGCTCATGCAGGATTGAGGGGCCATGTCATTTTTTTCAGAATCAGCTCAGTTGCAGGTCGTAAACTCAGTTACAGGTCGTAAACTCAGTTACAGGTTGTATTTCAACACAGTCACGCCTTGACCTCTGCTGTTCTCACGCCACATGTGACAATCTGTCCACATCTCTATCAAATATTATTACAGCCGGACACTTCACACAGCATCTTAGGAATCTATCATCCTGTGGTTTAGTAATCCTACATTCACCACAAGTCAAACATTCACCATACTTCACTGCATTTCAGAGGGTAGTATTTAACTTCCCACGCTTACGTTTCTTCCACGAGTTACTTTACTAATGAAGACTTTTGAGTAACAAATATGTGGAAGCTGACATGATTAGTCATTTAACTGAAAAAATAGTTTTAAAAGTGGACAGTTTACTTCTATTCATCAAAGTTAAAGTCTGTGTTCTCTACAGTTACTACACAGTTTATTTAGTGTTTTGCATCAATTTCCCAATTGTGATCCTGTTTCGCTGGCCTCCGTCCACAGTTCTGAGACAGTCATGGACCTCATCTTGTTTGTCTATCTAATTATTTAAAAACCTCTTTGTGTGTTCACAGTAATCAATATTCAGTCTGCTACTTTGTGTTTACAGTGGCCTCGTGGACAAATTCAGTATGTTGAAAATCAGTAATCAACCAAATTAGATTTTTATTGCCTGTATTTACAAATCACAATTTGCCTCAAAGGGCTTAACAATCTGTACAAGATGTGACATCATCTGTACATAACCTTCAACTAAGGTTAGGAAAAACTTAAATAAAAAAGTATTCAAACTTCTCAGATCAATGATTAATGTAATATCTGTCAGTCACATAGACACAAAAGAGAAACGTGTAAAGTCTCCTTCTTAATATCTTCTTTCTCTGTTTCAGGTTCTTCATTTTGCACGTCTTGTTTTCGCCACAGTCATGGTGTGCATTCCCTGTATTGTGATTCCTGTCCTTTTGTGGGTCTACAAGAGGTTCCTGGAGCCTATCCTGTATCCCTTCATCTCACCAATCATTAACACATTCTGGACCAAAAAGGCCGTCCAGGAGACGGGCACCAGTGACCAAAAAGTTAGTGAAAACAGCAATGGGACAATAAAGGTAAGTCAATGATTTATATCATGACTCAGTAATAACAAAACCCTTTTAGCTTTATGCATTTGTGATACCCTTGTGATACAAATGGTATTTATGTTCTTAGTACTTATAATACTGTGGTATTACTTTCAGCTTTAATTTAAACTCTTCTCCATAGCAGTAATTTCAGATAATTGCTTATAAATCTGTATTACTACAAGAATTATTGTTTCCTCAACTTGCCTATTATACATACAGAAGCCACTTTAACACAGCTCATGCATTTGAACATATTAAATATATATACATTGAATTCATAGGGTTTAATGTGGGTTTCACATGACCACATCTTGACTAATACTGTGTTAGTTATCAGCCTCTTTCATGAGTTGTTTTTAAGGGTTGTCCTTTTCGTTTCAGGCTGAAAGCAATGGTGACGCCAATGCCAACGGATCGACTATAGCAGCAGATAAGAAGACGGACTGACAACTTCAAATGTTTATAATGTTTTGAAAACGCTGTAAATATTCCAGTAATATA